TAGGCCATTGCCCCTGAATCAAGTAGAACGTGTGACTCTCATCTACCCTGTCTTGACTTGGGCCCTGCGGATGGGTCCATCTGTATCCCAACTGCAATAATACTTGGTCCCTCTCTTCTCTAAGGTTCAGTGACCACTCCTGTGGCCAAAAGACACGATTATTTCTGTGTGTGTTTTCCAGCTCAAAGTGCCTGATGTAACATAAGGGTTGTTTGGCGGCCTGCAGGGAGGTTTTTGTAGCCTGACGTGACATCTAGGGCATGGCATGAAGGCTCATTGTGGTGGTTGAGTGTTTCTGGCCTGAAGTAGGGCAGGATTATTCCAAGTGCTGGGTGTCAAACAAGGCACATCTGTTCTCTCTGATCTGCAGCACACCCATAAGCAAACTGTCCTGGCAACTCGGGTTTCTTGTTTGAGGACACTGATAAGTATATTCCAGAAGGGAGCCCAGGAGTGAAGTAGCACACACACTGTACAGGCAACTGCTTATATGTGGTAGCAGGAACAAGTTCTGGAAGTGAAACAGCGTGTTAAGATAGCTGGTGCTCCAAGTGTGTTGTGAAGCTCTGACCTCAGTTGTGCCAACAGAGAGAAGGCATCTGTTCCTTCTAGACTTGCAGTGAGACTGAGAGGGACCTGAAGGACTAATAGGCCTTAATGGTCACCAACGTCCCCTGCTTATGGCCCAGGACCCCATTTCGGGGAGTTCCATGTCCCAGCAACGCCACAGATATCAGTCAGCTGCTCCACCACAGCCCTGCTGGCCCAGCCATGGGCCCCACTGAGCCAACTCCCACTCTTGGGCTAATGTCCCGTCCCCATCGAGGTGCCTGATGCCCAGGGGTGGAGCTGCCCTGGCTGTCGCCTAGTCTGCCTGGCTGCCTGGTTGAGGCAGTGGGACAGGCCCTGGCTTTCTGCCACAGCACATCCCAGCCACATGTTCCTGTAGTGCCCTAACATTTACCTGAGTGTTTGATCTTGAAACAGCAATTTAACTCGACACTTACAAAATTTCTGAAGAAAGATACACAAGCAGAAACGTATTTTTTCTCCTCAAGACTGAAAGTAACTGGCTAGCTACAAGTAGATTTAGTTACTTACTGATATTATGCCATTCATGTCATTGGAAAACCTATAGCAAGCATGAGATTGACACTCTTCATTGCTTTGCTCATGCATTAAAATCTCCCCCATCCCTTTTCTGTTTTTCAGTCTGATAGTTTGTCAGGTCCCAGAAGCCTGATGAGGTGAAGCATCGAGAAAACAGTGGGAGCAATAGAGAGCTCTGCCGCTGACACGATTCTCTTTGGAGGGAATGGAGCTATTTTTCTTGTTTTGAAGCCAAAGTATCACTTGCAGTTCATATTCGATTGATAGCCAGAGAGAAATATGTAACCTCTCAGTCCTACTGAGAAATATATACCGTCTTCCAGAGGACGACATTGCTTCCTCGTACACCATCTATTTTCTGTTAGTGGGACTACCACAATAAGCAAGAGAACTGAGCTGTGCAGATGTTCAGCCAGCTCCTACATTCTTGGTAAAGTCTTTCAGCAAAGTTGCTGAAAGTCTAGGGGACATCTGTCTGCTAGAAACTGGACTGAGACAACTAAAAACTATACATAACCCTTAGTACAGCTGTCAGATGGTAATGACTTTCAGCCAGTAATGAACTGGAACAAAACTGAATTGGCAACTGCCTTTTTCCCCTCTAGTAATATCCCAAGAAAGACTTTACATGCTAGATGTACAGCAGAGAGAGTTTCTGCTGTTCGGATACCACAAGACAGGCAGGATTTCAGCATGGAGATGTTGTTAACACAGTGGTTATTGTATTTCTTTTAAAAATGGATAAGAATGGGGTATAAGAAAAGAACACACCTTTCCTTTCCTCAGATATATATATTACATTTATTTATAGGTGCATTAAAAGGTGATTGATTCATATACTGCAGATAATGAATAATTTGATGTATCCATACAGAGCAATAATCATCTGTAAAAAAAAAAACCTGTTAATTTGGAGTTAAATTCAAACTTAATAGTATGATTTGGGTCCAAAAAGTGACCCTTCTCACTGTTCGAACCTTGGAACAAAGCTGTCCCTGTAATGTGCTCAGAAAACATTCAAATCTAGGCCATATGGAGCAGGGAGCAAGTGTCCAAAATCTAACAGTGAGTGTTTGGCCAGGAGCATATACCCCTATAGAGAGCTGAGAGTCTCACAAGGGTGGCCCTGTGGATTCTCATCCGGATAACACAAAGCCCTGTGTAAAGCTCTATTTAAGAGCTCAGAGCACCAATAACTTGGGTTTATGGAATGATTTTTTACCTAGCAAGGTTCGCTTTCCAGCTGATTTTGTATTTGTCCATAACTAACTTAACTCTTGTACTAACTTATACG